CTATTTTGTTCTGTTCTATTCTGTTCTGTTCTATTCTATTCTATTCTATTCTATTCTATTCTATTCTATTCTGTTCTGTTCTGTTCTGTTCTATTCTATTTTACACCCGGTGGTGTGTGAGATATTTTGCTAACAGACAGAGAGGGCGGATGCCAACAGCTGATCATTTGTTAACACACAAAGTTCTGCAATGTGGGTGTGAATGACTCTCAGCTACTACCACATACGGTTTTATATCAAATTCTGTCGAACTGATGACTTAATGTAATTTTAGTGTTTTGTGAGGTCATCAAGTCGTGGTGGCCATCTTGGACTAGATTGACTCCACATGGTAAAGAATTGTAGATTGACCCTCCAAAAGTTTCATTAAAATTCATCCAATGGTTTATGAGATATTTTGCTAACAGACAAAGTCGACCCCAACAGCTTGTGGTACAGTTTTTTTTTAACAGTTCTGGTGAAACCAGTTAGTGCTCAGATTACCTGTTGGGGATGACTCTCAGCTGCACACACGCCAAGTTTCATCTTGACATCTGTAAACCTGACTGAGCTATAGACATTTTTGCATTTGTAAGGATTTATTTGCTGTGGTGGCCATCGGGTCGTGAAATATTTTGCTAACAATACAGACAAATGAACACACGCAGAGACACGAGCAAACACTGTCGCTTTTCTCTTTCAGCAGTGAGTGATAATAGGTATTTAGTGTGTAAATTGAATAAGTTCTTACCACCGCAATGTGGAAACGTGACGTTTCTTTGTGCTTTCGTGCATGGGTGCTTCAGAGTTATTGATCTCCTTGATAAACATTAACAGAGGAATTCTTGCAGCGCCTGCCTGTTTCACATCAACCGCCTTGCAAACGAAAATGAACCTCTGAATTCACGGAGCGCATTCTTGCAATTGCAACAGCTGACAACTGTAAAACGTGTCCGAGACGTCTGCTCCGTGAGGCTGACTGTAAGGAATGCAACCTTCATGTGAGGGGACGCTGCTCTCACCTTGGACTTTTCTTCCTGAAAGCCTCCTGACCTGTCTAATCAGAAGCAAAAACAACAAAAAAATCAATGGTAGAAGAAGCCGCTCACTCTGCGGGCGAAGGTTTGCTACTGTTATTTGTGATTGATTCTGTCTACAAGTGACTTTATAAACAGTTTTCTAATCTGTAATAAAGTCAGCGTTGAAAAGCCTCATCAGCGGTTTGCTGACTGGAACAAACAAAACTTATGATAAGTCATCAGAAACTTGAGTGCTGTCCTTTTGTGTAAATGCACATCTAAGCGTCTTTAAGGAAAAGGTCACTATCATCCCAAATCTTGTGATTGGCTAATTGTGTCCTGCAGTGCAGGGGAGTGTCCACACCTGCGAGGAACTGTTAAAACAGTGGATCTGCCAATAATCAATACTACTGGCAGTGAGTGTGTTAAAGGTCCTTGTCAGGATACAATAGCTGCACTGTGGACTCGTAAAGTGAGGCCTTCAGACAATAGATGCTTTGGAGCGGGGGAACTGCCAGGCTAATTTCACGTCACTTCACCACAGAGCTTCACAAGCTGCGCAGATGGACAGAAAACAAGCTGCACCAGAGAAATCACACTTTCTGCAAACATGCAGCGTAAATGCTGAGAAGCAGAACACTAGCTAAAAGCTATAACAAAAGACTAGCTAAACTGAGCACATTGCTAGCTAAAAACAGGAACGTCTTTGCTAAAAATAGAAAAATTCTAGTTTACCGGTAAATTGACAAAATATTAACTAGAAGACCAAAAGGCTGACTAAAAATATCAAATGGCCAGCTAAAAGCTAGAGTAGCAAAAGTCTAGCTAAAAGCTAAATGTAGCAAATCACAAGCTAAAAACAACAGTATTTGCTAAAATCAGCAAAAGGCTTAAAAGCTATAACAAAAGACTAGCTAAATTGAGCAAATCGCTAACTAAAAACTGCAGTCTTTGATAAAATCAGAAAAAGGCCAGCTTAAATTGACAAAATATTAACTAAAAGACCAAAAGGCTGACTAAAAGTATCCAAAGGCCATCAAAAATCTAGAGTAGCAAAAGTCTAGCTAAAAGGTAAATGAGACAAATCACAAGCTAAAAAGAGCAGAGTTTGCTAAAATCAGCAAAAGGCTAGCTAAAAGCCAGAAGTAGCAAAAGACAAACTAAACGTAGCAAAATGCTAGCTGTAAGCCATAGTGGCAAAAAGGACAGCTAAATGTAGCAGAAGGTTAGCTAGAAGCTAAAAGTAGCAAAACAATTGTTCAAAACTAAAAGTAGCATGCAAAGACAAAAAAATCACAAAATATGCTGAAGTATGTAGTTAAATGACAAAAAAAAAAAACATACAGAAAAGCAGTGATGTGAATGCTGAATCAGCATTTACACACATTCATTCAACCTTTATTTTTATACAGATGATTCACATTGAGCCTCGAAGACTCATTTACAAGTGAGACCTCTGAGACCACATATTCTTCTAAACACATTAATACTTTTATGTTGAGTCTTTGTACACAAAACTCTGGTCATTGCAAAACTGGCGTTTTCAGGCTGCCAGAGTGCATCATCCATGTCCCAATACCTGATAGTTGTGGTGGACTTTACCCCGACTGATTACTCTGTTTATAGGAGAGGCGCTCTGCTTGTGCACATCGTATAAAACAGCTCCACAGGTACCAGCTGCACCCTGTCACCCTGCTACTTCTCCAGTGAAGCTTCGTGGCATAGAGGATCTGCGTGTTTGCTTTAAGTTTCTAACCCCTGATATGGGCTGTTCAGTACAAACGACATAAAAATAAAAGGAAATAAAAACAATGAGGACCTGAAGCTCATGCAGATAATATTTACATGAATCATCTCCTGTCTGTCGGCGGTTTCCTGACAGTTTTATTTAACCACTTTACATGCCAATCCCATGTCCTTTGTGCTTCTCCAAGCTGGATTCAACCGGTAATAAAATCCCCTGATGCAACGGGCCTGAAAGAGCAGTGAGTGATTCAGACGCACATGACGATGATGTGTTTGTAGGTCACGTAGTAAAAGGTGTGTAATGGAATGTCAGTTTTGTAATCGGTGCTAAAAGGGTGCACGTTTTTTTTTCTTTATTGGGGGTGGGGGGTTAATAAGAAAGAGAATAGGGACACCGTGTCTGTGGATTTAAACCTTTACAAACCTTGCTCAATACTGATAACAAGTGAATACAGTACAGTAGTTTTCTTCCAGATCTAACACAGTTGAGTCAGGTCCTCTGGACGGATTCTTCTTTATTGAAACGTTTCGTCTTTTGTCCAAAAGACTTCTTCAGTCTGAGGAGCTGTAGCAAACAGTTTTATGAAGAGCTCCTTCTCATAGTGGATCAACCAGTTTGCTGGTTACAGCCAGAACTAGCTGCTCACATGTAAAAGAAGGACCATCAGCCTAAGATTGTTAGTGACCTGTTGGCCACTTGCTATTCACAGAGAGCTGAGTGATGCTTGCAATAACAGCACTGTA